CCTATCCAATGAAGAAGAAAAATAACAGCTCTCAAAAGAAACCAGCATGGCTGCATAAAGAACTTTCTGATAAAAGAAAGACAAAACAAACAAGTATAAAAAGTGGAAAGAGGACATAACTAAGGTAGAATATCAGCAAATAGGCCGAGCCTGCAAAGATGAAGTGAGGAAAGCTAAGGTTCAAAATGAACTAAGTCTTGCAACAAAAGTCAAAAATAACAAAACAAAACAAAACAAAAAGCTGCTTTGAACATGTAAAACACAAGAAAAAAGTCAAGAAAATGATCGGTCCACGATTCGACCGGAAGTGTGGCGGCGAGACAGTCGGGGAATTAGCAGGCTCTGATGAGCTCCACGAAAACCCAGACTGACAAACTGCTGCCAAGGGGTCTTTGGACCAGAACCGTCCTGTAGGGACAGGGAAGAAGGAGAGGCACCTTGGAAGACCAAGAGGAACAGGCAAGTTCCTCGAAGTTCAGAGGAAACTCTCTATGACTCCGCGGCGGGGCAATTGCGGCTGTCACAAAGCTGGGGCAACCAGACTAAGCATTGAGCAGGAGTGGTGAATGGAACAGAGTTTTTTGAAGCCGAGTGAATGACAGCCATCCATGGTTGAAACAATAATAAGGAAATTTTTTTTTTAACTTTAAGACCCCTAGCGATAAAACAGCAGCTAATGAGCATGGGGGGGGGGAGATTTTGAAGCGTAATCTTAAAGGGACAAAAACCCAATGAAAACTGACTTTTTAACAAAATTATTTGGAAATAATTTGGAAAATTTTAAATAACTAGAGAAATTGCCCCAAGATTGGTTAAAGGATCGGAAATAAATAAATAGATCCTTTCCCCCCCCCTTTCTTTTTCGAATTTCAAGAAAAATAAAAGAGAATGGAAAAGAAGCCCTGTAACAGAAGTGTTGTATAAATAAAAGAAAAAAAGGAAAAAAGAAGTGAGAAGCGCTGTTTAAATTCGAACTGGACTATAAAACTGATTTGATATTTTTAAAGCTAAAAAGAAAAAGAGAAGCTAAGTAAGATTGTTAATGTAGATTGAAACAAAATGGATATTTGTTAGACAATCGGAAATTGTGGATTGCAGAGAGACACCTTCAGGAGTAAAAAGGAATATTGCAACTTGGTCTTTGTTTTGGAAAATTGTGAACTTTACAGATAACAGCCATGAGAACTGTTGGGGAGGATTTCTTTGTCTGCAAGCAGCTTGACTTTGGAAAAAAAATGGAACTTTTACAACGGAACTTTTAAAATCGGAATAATATTAACTCAAAAAGAATAAAATGACGCAGAAAATTAGAGAAATATTAAATCGATTTACTCATGGAAAATGGAAATAAGAGGAATAACTACAATGTTACACGGAGGATTAAAATCTGAGGACACAAAAGCTGAGATGGAGCATACACAAGCGGACAAGGAAATGAAGATGGAGAAGCAAGACATAGAGGCTGAAAATAAAGAAGATAAAGACAATGTGTTTAAATATGAAGGAGTAACTGAACATGTGGATAGTAATAATAAAAGGGAGGTTTTTAGAGATTACATTGGGATTAACAATGAAAAAATAAAGAGATGGAAAGAGACAAATAAGGAAGGGAGGATGGAACAGAAAGAATATAAAGAACTTAAATGATTACACTGGGATTTACAGTGAAAAGATAAAAAAGAGAGAAAAAGGGTGGAAAATAACAGGAAATATAGGGCAAAATAGAAGAGTTCAGGACTTTGAAATACAAAATGATAATACTGGGATAAATAGTGGGATAAAGTGGTGAAACAAAAAAAGAGAAAAGAGAGGGGGAACCACGGGAAATATAGGGCAAAACAGGAGAGATCAGTATTTTAAGGCACAAAAGGAAAAAAGGAAAGAAAAGGGTAAAAATAAAAATGACAAGGGAAAAAAGGAAAGAAATGAAAGAGGAATATGATGTATATGACGAAATATGAATTGTAAGAAATAATGCTAAATCATATGGTGAAAATGAATTGAAAAATAATTGGAATAATAATTGAAATGTTTTTAATGGTTTACGGTGGTGTTTGTACAAACGATTAAGTGATGATTTGGAATAATACAGGTGTCAGCGTTCCAAATTGTGATCTCTTTCAGCGCTGACATAAAAGACACAGGAAGACTTGCTTAATGCTGGGATGAACTTTCACCTAGTTCCTGGCTCTTCAGCAGATAGCGTTACCTGGGCAACAGAGGGAGGGGGGAATTCTTGTGAAGAGAAAGTGCATGGGACGAAGAGATGGATCTGGATAGTGGCCAATGAGACATTGGGGTTGAAGAACGGAAAGGGAGGGGTGTGGAAGGAGGTGCCAATCTTGGCTGCAACAGAGTTCAGGAATGTCGTTCTCTATTCTTAAATAAAGAAAAAAGATTCATTAGAGACTTTGCGTTTGAAAATGAAGTTTATTTAAGATAGCAACGAAACCTGACAACAGGGGGAAAGCTATATGATTAGAGGATAATAGAATATTTTTAAATTCAACTAAGTTTTTTTTTTCTTCTGGCTCATATATAAATGAAAAAGATATATAATCAATTGATTTATATTAAAATGTTGGATTATGTTAGTTAAGGAAATGTATGTTATAGAATAAGTGGGTTTATTATTAATATAAGAATTAAATAACTAACCATATAATTAATTAATTTGATGATGGATATAAAAATTAGATGATAATGGGAAGGGGTTTAATATAGAATAGAAGGGAAAATGGAATTTGGTCAAAATTAGAGATGAAAATAAAGGGTACTATTGGTACAAAATAGATGAAAATAAATGTTATGGCAAAAAAGGAGGTATAGAAATTGTCATTTTAGTTGAAAGGACTAAAAATTGTTTAAATTTGTTAACTGGCCGAATACTCTGTTCAGCAAAAATACATTGTATGTTTGTGTGTGTGTTTGTGTAAAAAAAAAAAACTTTACAAAAAAAAAAGAAAGAAAAGAAAATGATTGGTCCATTTATGGAAGAAAGTGACAAGAAGGTCACAAGCAATAGGGAGAAAGCAGAACTACTTAAGTCATTTTTTGCATCTGTCTTTACAAATAGAAAAAAACAGTCCAATCTATCAAAAACAGTACCATAAAAAACAGATTAAGAATATAAATTAATGTAAGGTCCCAAAATATACTTGAGTCACCAGAATGCCAAAGAGAGAGACTCAAGACTCTTGCAAAAAGAAGCAGATTTTATTTATGGCCAAAAACAAAATACTGGGTGGGACTATATCCAGAACATACAGATACAATGCATGTGAGGAGATAGCCACACCTTGGGGAAGGTATGGCATCCTTTTTATACCCTCAGAGCCCCGTTGCGAATGGTAGTAAAGGTAAGTAGAACCCACCCCTGCTGCATGTGACACATCCAACCCACAGGCCACCAGTTTGCCACCCCTGACCTAGAGGCAAACAAAGCCATAACTAAAAGCCAACATGGGCTTGTCAAAAACAGATCATGCCAGACAAGTCTTATTGCATTCTTTGACAAAGTGACAAAATTAGTGAAGAATGCTGTGGATATAATTTACTTAGACTTTAGTAAGGAATTTGACAAAGTAAGACCACAACTTACTACATGATAAGATAGAAAAATGTGGGTTAAAACCATCACCACCATAACTGGTTCACCAGCTGCACTCAACATGTCCTGTAGATGCCATGGAATTGCATCTACATGGAGGGAAGTATGCAGTGGGGTACTCCAAGGCTCTGTTTTTAATGATTTGGATGAGGGGATAGATAGGGAACTCATCAAATTTGTAGACGACAAGCTGGCAGGAATGGCCAGCATTCCAGAAGATAGGCTTAAGATACAGAAGGATCTTGACAAATTTGAACATTGGGCGCTATCTAACAAAATGGAGACAGATAAACCTCCAAATGGCCTCAACAACTCTCTAAAATAATGCAAATGACCAGCTGTTTGCAAGGAATATAAAACCATCCATTCTTCATCATCCAGTCAGAGCTGAAGAAGCTTCTTGGATGAGAACTTGAACACTGGATGCTATCTAACAAAATGAAATTCAATGGGGAAAACAGTAAGATTCTACATTTAGGCAAGAAAAACCAAATGCACAGGTATAATATAGATGGAACCTGGCTCAACAGTAGTAATTGTGAGAGGGATCTTGGAGTCCTAGTGGACAATCACTTAAACATGAGCCAGCCGTGTGCTGCAGCTGCCAAAAAAGCCAATATTTTAGGCTGCATTAACAGAGGGATAGAATCAAGATCACATGAAGTATTAATACCACTTTATAATGCCTTGATAAGACCACACTTGGAATACTGCATCCAGTTTGATCACCACAATGTGAAAAAGTTGTTGAGACTCTAGAAAGTATGCAGAGAAGAGCAACAAAAATGATTAGGGGACTGGAGATGAAAACATATAAAAAATGGATGTGTTGGAAGCTGCCTCACTGTATCTTAAATCTACTCAGCTATGCCTCTACCCTGAAATGAGACGGGACCTCAATTACATGAATTTTTGTGGGTATCTGAAAAGAGCTATCATACCCCTCCCAGTCTGCAAGGAAAATATTCCCAATTCCTTCCACCTCTCATTACCAAATATAATTTCAAGTCTCCTGATCTCTTTTTGCTTTTTAATAAACCTAGTATTCCAACTCCTTGAATGCTTCTTAAAGTTTTCCAAATTGATTCACTAGAGATAAGGTGAGTCCTTTTAGTGAAAGACGTCTGGTGATTTTGGAGTTTATACTTCTGTTGAGGCAGCCTAAAACTGCATCCTTCCTTTTTTTACAACCACAACTCGCTTCAATTTACCACCAACTAGCATATTTTCCCCAAATACCATTAGGGAGCCAGACATTGCCCACAGTGTATTTGACAGTGTTTGTTGAGTGAGGTGATTTGCACTGTATTAAATTTCATTCTGTGGGGTTTTCAGCCCATTTCTCCATCCAATCTTGATCATTCAGAATTGTATTTCTTCTAGGGAATTAGCTCTTTCCATTTTTTATAACCTGAAGATTTTGTGAGTATCACTCCTGCATTTTTGTTCAAGTCACTAAAGAGTTGGGAGGGTTGTGGCGCCACACTTGACAGTCTTCAGGCCGACTTCTCTAGACTGCAGGAGGAGAGCCCGGTGGGTCTCAGGACCCGAGGATATGGTGGCTGGGACCCCGCTTGGGCACCTTATTAAAATGTACAAAAATAGGTAAAAGGAGCTGTCAGACACAGCAAGGAAGTGCGAGATACGCTTTCTCCACTCAGAAAAGGAGGGAGGAGGAAAGTTTGTCTAGGCGCATTGAAAGAGGAGCCGGCTCCGTTTGGAAGGCAACGAGTCCTCGGTCTCCTTGCTCAGAGACATTGGCAAATGTTTCTTTAAATGCCCGGGAGCGCTCCGTGTCACGAGAAGCAGCTCCGCGCTCGCGGGGGAGATTTTCCGGCGGAGCCGATCCCGCGCCCGCCTTCCGTCCTGCCCCGGGAGAAGCGCCGCCCGCTCCGGCCTCGCCGCCCCCCGAGCCCGAGCCCGAGTCGCCGGCCGCCGGAGTAGCGCTGCCCAGCCGGTAGGCCCGCGCCGAAGCGGGCGAGCGCGGCGGGCCCCGGCGATGGAGGGGCAGATGGCGGGGCTGTACGACCTGGGCCGCCGGCTGGGCAGGGGCCACTTCGCCGAGGTGCGGCTGGCCCGGCACGTCTTCACGGGCGAGCGCGTGGCCGTCAAGGTGATCGAGAAGGGCCGGCTGGGCGGCGCGGCGGCGGCGCGGCTGCGGCGGGAGGTGGGCTGCATGAAGCTGGTGCAGCACCCCAACGTGGTGCGCCTCTACCAGGTGCTGGAGACGCCGGCCCGGCTCTACCTGGTGCTGGAGCTGGGCGACGGCGGGGACCTCTTCGACCTGCTGACGCGGCGGCCGGGCGGGCTGGACGAGGCGCGGGCCAAGGGCTACTTCGCCCAGGTGGTGCACGCCATCTCCTACTGCCACCGGCTGCACGTCGTGCACCGCGACCTCAAGCCCGAGAACGTGCTCTTCTTCCAGCAGCAAGGGGTGGTCAAGCTCACCGACTTCGGCTTCAGCAGCTGCTTCCAGCCGGGCACCATGCTGGCCACCAGCTGCGGCTCCCTCGCCTACTCGGCCCCCGAGATCCTGCTGGGCGAGGAGTACGACGCCCCCGCCGTGGGTAAGAGCCAAGGAGGAGAGGCAGCGCGAAGCCTGGAGGCCCAGCCGAGGCCCCGGCAGGATGTCCAGGCCCGCGGGGGGGGGGAGGTGGCGCTGGGTGGACCGGGCTGCCGGGCCCGTCTTGGCCTTGGGCCGGCGAGGATCTCCTGGGAGGAGGGGAGTTGGGGGGTGGGAGTCCCTTGTCTGGGCTGGCTTGTAAGACTTTCTCTTTCGGCTTCTGTGAAGCACAAGCAACATGGAGAGCCAGCCAGAGACGTTCCCGAGGCCTACAGCTGCTTCTGACCCCTGTGCAGGAGGGCTGCTTGAGGGAGGGATAGCCCGGGTGCCCCTGCCTCAGCAATGGGGGCTGAGCAGCATCCATCTGGGCCCTGATGGGATCCAAGAATTTCTTTGGGTTGCAGCTGTTCAGTGGGAAAAGCATAGGGAGAAGCAGGCCACAGCTAGCCCTCCTTTCTAAACATTTTAAGATGACTAGAAGTTTCTCCTCCCTTTTCTAATTGCTAAAATCAGTTTATAAGGTCATCTTCTCCAGCTCCTTTATGGTGGCCCATCACCCCTCATGCCTCCCTTTCCAATTTAGGAGATGCTTCGTAACCTTTATGTCAGTGATCCCTTTTATCAGCCCTTGCTCGCAGGATCTGTTGGCAGATTCAAGCAGATTTTCTTCTCTAGAGATCCAGAGAAAAAATGGGAGGATAGAGACTTCACACAGAGGTTTTAAAAACTCCCGGGTGCAAGGAAACCACGTAATATCCGCACCATCCCTATTTTAGACAGGGTAGAGACTGGCCTGTTGGTTGAGAAGCTCCTGGCAATGGTGAAAAGGAGTATCTGGGGGAGGGGGAGGTTGCCACTAAAAATTCTGCTGCATTACTTAGTTTAGTTCCCATATTGGGAGCGGGGGTTGTTAGAATTGACCATGGATATTATCCCTGTGAGATATTGGGAGCCTTGAAGGATTTGGCAGCAGATCAATCAATCTGGATAGTTGGGGGATTAGCCTGAGAACAAATATTATTCTAGATGACTTTTTCCCAAGCTGGAACCAACACAATTCCTCGGCAGACCTTTCCCATATCATTCTTGTAGCCTGTTGTTTGTAAATCCCCTTTCAACGCTGTCTTAATCTTGTCAGGCGGAACCTGTTCCTTTTCCATAACATCTTTTAGATACAGTCTCTCCATAGAAGGAGATGGCTCTGTTGACACTATTACAGTTAATTTATGAATCCATTGTTCAAAAATATCCTTTAATATGACATGGAAAATATGTTACACTGGACATAGGGAAGAAACAGGTTGACGACTTAATAATTAAAATAGATATATAAATAAACTGAGAAAGTTACCTGGATAATTTTCCTGCATTGGAGTTACAAAAAGAGGATTGTTAAAGCTTTGAAGAATTTTGTGAGATGGGACAAAAAATAAAGGGAAAAGAAATTAAGTTCTACAATATTAGTTTAATGGACTAAAGATTGTTAGAAGCAGAAGGAAGGAATATAACATTGGTTTATTTGATCAAGTTGATGTAGATATGTTGTTATTTCTAGTAATCTTTAATGAACCAGCAGAACTGAAATGATGATGTTTTATGGATTTGTTTATAAATAAGAAATCAGATATTGGAAGAAGAGATAATTTGTTGTCTTTTTTAGATAAGGTGATAAATCTATGTAGGAATTTCCCGTGTTAATCCCATTTTTTAAAATGGATATTCTAGAAAATCCTATAAAGTATCATCTTTAGCCACCCTGTACCTGGTTCTGCTAAATTTTCTGATGTATGCTTTGGTTTAAAATCGGAACAAATTGGAATCCTCACCCAGATCAGTCAAATGGATGGATCCATTTGATTCCTTACTGAAATTGAGAAGCTACCACATGACTCCAGTCTGGAACTCCTCTGCAGGTTGGAGGGTCTCCCCCACTTCATTTCAGTGTCAAAACCTTCCTGGGTCTTTGGTTGTTGGGCCTTAGGAAAATCAGCTCTTTTCATGAGAAGATGTTGAAACTAAGAACTGGCCGTTCTGCTGAATATACTTGCTAGATACTCTTGAGTGGGGTGCTTGAAGCTGAACTCAGCATTCCAGACCATTCTATAATCACAGGGCTGGAAGAGACCTTGGAGGACTTCTAGTCCAACCCCCTGCTCAAGCAGGAGACCCTATACTATTTCAGACAAATGGCAGTCCAATCTCTTCTTAAAACCTCCCGTGTTGAAATACCCACAACTCCAGGAGACAAGCGATTCCATTCCCACAGCCAGGAAATTTCTCCTTACTTCCAGGTTGGATCTCTCTTTAATGATCTTTCACCTGTCACTTCTTGTCCTGCCTTCAGGTGCTTTGGAGAACAAATTGACTCCCTCTTCTCTGTGACAGCTCCTCAAATATTTTTATCATATCACCCTAATCCTTCTCTTTGATATGCTGGACGTACCTAGCTCCCTCAACCGTTCATCATACGATTTAGCCTCCAGATCCCTCATCATCTTTGTTGCTCTTCTCTGCATTCTTTCTAGGGTCTCATATCATTTTTTGCATTGTGGTGACCAAAACTATGGCCTCACTAGTGCAGTGTAAAGAAATACTAACAGCTCATGTGATCTTGATGCAACCCCTCTGTTGATGCAGCCCAGGACTGCATTTGCCTGTTTGGCAGTTGCAGCACACGGCTGGCTCCTACTTAGGTAATCAGGAGTCCACTAGGTCTCCTAGATCCCTCTCAGAGTTGCTATTGTTCAGCCAGGTACCATTTATTCTATTTACTCAGGTGAGTCTGACTAAAACCAAAGCAAGAGGGACAAATGCTTAACTGTGATTTGGAAATTATATTAATGCAGCAGCCCAAAATGATATCATTGTTTTTAATCTACATCACAGTAATGGCTGTGTTCCATTTGCAATCCAGCCATACATTTTTTCATTATCCCCATCTTATACCTCTGCAATTGACTTTTGTTTCAATGTACAATTATGTGGCTGTTTCAATGTACAATTATTTAAATTCTTTCTCCGCTTCCATTACTTGCTAGCATTTTGTCTTTTCACTGAACAGCTGATATATGGATTCTTGCTTCTTTTGAAGGTATCTAAAGGATACCTCTTTGTTATTTTTAGTATGATTTGCCAATCTCAGTTTATTCTACACCTTTGTTTTCTTGATGCTGTTTCTAGACAATTGCACATCTTTTTTTCTTGGTGATTTAGCTATCTGTCTCCTTACATTTTGATTTCCCATTCTTCCATTTTCTCTCATTGTTACGTTCTTACAACTGAAAATGATTCCTAAATTCTTTTTAGGAATTCTCACTCCCTTTGATCTGTTTTCCACATTAGCTTTCTCTGCCATGAGGAAGGGTTTATAAAATCTGCTTCTCTTGATATTTCAAAAAGGTGCCCAGCTACTGAGTTACAGGTTCCTAATCTCAAGGCTTTCTTTAGCCCCTCGATAGTTCGTACCATGTTTCTATCCCAGGCTGTTAAGCCCTTCATAATATTGGTGGTTTGGAGGATTTGACTGGCATACAAATAGGACATCGGCCTTGAGTCCCCTGCAGAACAGAGTTTGCATTGGAAGTCAGTGGAATAAGTGGATTTGATTGGATTACTTAGGGCAACGGGTTCCTTTTGCAGCAGGGAGCTGTGAAGGGGAAGAAGAGAGGCGTCTTGGAGGGCTGAGCCCAGAGCACGGGGAGGGCTCCTGTTCAGCCCACTCTCCTCTTTTTTTTCTCTCTTAGATATCTGGAGCTTGGGTGTCATCCTTTACATGCTGGTCTGTGGACATCCCCCTTTCCAGGAGGCCAACGACAGCGAGACTCTGACCATGATCCTGGACTGTCGCTATGTGATACCATCGGGCATCTCCCTCCTGTGTGCAGAGTAGGCGGCCCCTCATTTCCTCCCTCTTTGTCACTGCTTTGTTCCGTAGGAAGCAACCTTAACCTCCCTGCCTATTGTGTTCATAGCATAGAGGCGTGTGGGCAAGTGTCAGCAGGAAACCCCCAGACGGTGCCATTTATTTATTGTCACATTTCTATGCCTCCCAACCGCTTTGGGTGATTCACAACAATCAAAGAAGTTACAATAAACCCCATTAAAAGGCAGGAAAAAAAGATGGCAAGCATGGCAGACCAAATGGGATGAGGCCAGGGGACTTGGGGAAGAGGTGGGTCTTCGTGGTTCCTCGTAACTAGAGCAGACAGGGGCCATCTGGATCACAGGCGGCAGGACTCATCATGGAGGGCAGGCACTGCGACAGAGAAGGGACATTCCCAGAGTCCCAAGAGGTGATACGAAGGAACCTGACATGTGCCCACTCTGCAGGCTCAAGTCATCCGTGAAGATACTATGGGAGATGGGCAGTAACCAGGCCCTTTGCCAGGTAGGGCTTTGTGGGTAATGACTAGCATCTCAAATTGCGCCTAGAAGCAAACTCGCCAATGGTGCAGCTTCACAGAAAAGGTGTTATGTAGGCATAGGTCTAGATGAGGTTTGTGGCACATATCCAATAAGTAAGGACATAAATAACAATACTGAGGCAAGCCTGTGCTGCTGCATTCTGGACCCGTTGAAGCTTCCAGGTGGTCTTCAAGGACAGACCTTACATAGCAGTAGTCAAGCCGTGAAGTGGCTAGTGTGCCCAAAGGGCCCCTCGATGTAGAAAAGGATGCAGCTGGCACCCTTTATTTTCATCCTTGAGCACTTGAAGGGAAGGATTGTCTGGGAATATAGTGCCTTATCTATCTCTGTCGTCCCCTCAGACCCCTCTTTCTCCGTGGGAGGGAGGCCCTCTCAATCTGGAGCAGAACTCACGAGGTGAAAGCTCAGCCGCAGAGTCTCGGGCGCACAAGGCCTGTTTGGATTATTGTTCTGGTCTAACTGCTCGATGGTTGAGGGGAACAGATCGCCTGGCTGAGTGCTCTGCCGGGGGCTCCTCTGCCTTCCCTGGGAGACTTTCGAGCCATGCAGGCCTTCTGCTGAGCAAAGAAACATCGGTGGCCCAGGAATAAGGAGCAGGCTCTCCCCATTCGGCACCGTGATGCCTTTCCAAGGTCCCATTTCACCTCGGCTCTGCCTTCTAGAGACGTGGATTGGGAGGGAGGGAGCAGGGCCTTGGGGGCCAGAGGCTGAGTCACTCTCGCTCTTCTTTGCACAGCCTTATTGTCCAGATGCTGCAGCGGGACCCCAAGCAAAGGGCCTCCTTGGAGCTCATTGAAAACCACGCATGGCTCCAGGGGGTGGACCCCTCCCCAGCCAGCCATTCTCTTCTGCCGCTGACATCACACCGGAGGGTTTTGGAGGAGGAGCACGAGATCATCATCCAGACCATGATGTGTGGCCACATTGCAGACCGAGAAACCATCCAGGAGTGAGTGAGGGTCCCGGGGTGGGCGCTGGCACAAATCACTCTGGTTGATTAAGGAAGGTTGTGCAAGGGGAATGTGATTTGGGCACAGGTATCACGGCCACCGGACAGGAATTTGAGCTGACCTTCAGTTGGTTGGGACAGAGCTTCACTAGCTGAAATGATCAGGTAGATATTTTGGGACTTCCTTAATGCTTGAAGGTCAAAAGTGGCTTCTGACAATGCCCATGAACTGTGAAACGTCCATCATAGTTTTGAAATGGACATAAATCGAGACAAAGGTATTCCTTGATTAATGACCACTCATTCAAAGACCATTTGAAGTTACAATGGTGCTGAACAAGTGGCACTTAAGAGCAGTCCTAGAAATTCTAGCTGTTCCAGCATCCCTGCATTCATATGATTGCCATTTGTGACATCCTCTGCCAGCTTCCCACAAACAAAATCAATGGGGAAGTTGGCAGAGAAACTTGCAAGTTGCTTCCACTGCTTTTTCCCCTGAGGAGCCGTGCCACAGAGTGCAAGATCCTGGAGATACTTTTGCAGTGGAACCTCTCCTCAGACTGCATGCATTTGCCACCGTATCACCCCGCCTCACTCCACAGTATTCACTCAACCTCCAGCATGCTTGCAAGCCACCATGACTTGTAATTCCACACAGGCTTCCCCAATGACTTTGCTTGTGGAAAGTCGGCTGGAAGTTGCAAATCCTCAGTGGTCACATGAGGCTCTCACTTAACAACCCATGATTTTTATTTATTTAGAAAATTTATATTGCTGCCTACTCGCACATGGTCACTCACGGTGGTTTAAAAACACAATATAAAATATATAAAAATAATAAACAATAAAAATAATAACCCCCCACCCTGGCAACAACACACATTCATACCAGCCATGATCCTTGCTTAACAGCAGCAACAGAGACTGCAGGATTGCCATTGCTTAAGCAATATGGGCACATGACATCATGCTTTACAACTACATTGCTTGGTGATTGAAATTCCAGTCCCCGTTATTGTTGTTAAACAAGGACTACCTGGTTTACATTCCCATTAGCCAGTAGAGGAAAAAGTGAATCTACAGCCATGTAAGATGTTGGTGCACTGTAGGAGCCAGGAGCCCAACCTCTCTGGCTAATGGTATGGCATGCTGCGGATTTCAGCTCAGCAGCTTCCGGACAGCTGTGGGTTCTCCATTCCTGGTTTAAAACATGGCACACAGCTTGCCCAAACCTGGGATCCCATAACTGTGGCCTGAAACAGGAGAACCAGTCCCAAAGTGTCAGGTTCCTGAATAGAATCCAACAGTGAATAAGTTGGCAGAGCCACAGAATAAGTGAAGATGTTCAGTCTCCCCCATGCCCTCCAGTTATCTGTCATCAAGCCACACACCTGTACCCAAGATGAGGCTGGTGTTCCAGATGTGCTTCAAGTCCAAGGAGAAATCCATAATTAAGGCAGCTGGACTTTATGTACCAAGCTGTATGTAGAAACAGGCCATTCTGGTACACAGCCGATTGAGTTTACAGTCTAGACCGGAGGGCAATCAGTCAGTTCCTGGGCAGCCCTGAAAGTGAGCAGAGCCTCGGAAGTCTCTTCCTGTGTCCATGCCTGACTCTTTCCACTTGACATCTCCTTGCAGAGCCCTGGAGGCCAAGCGCTACAATCACGTCACTGCCACCTACTTTCTGCTGGCCGAACGGATTCTGCGTGAGAAGCAGGAGAAGCAGACCCTGGCTGAGCAGCTCCAGAGCAGGCAAGCCCCCCTCGGCCCTTCGAGCGTTGGTCTCAGCCGGGGGGATTTGCAGCTGCTCACCTCCTCTCTTTGCTCCTTCTTCTTCCTCAGGAGCCCAGCAGGCAAGTCCTGCCCCTCTCTGCCCACAAAGCTGCCCCCAGCCACCAAGGGCACTCTGGAGACTGTCGCTGCGGAGTACGCCGGGAAGCCTCTCCTTTGCCGCTCATCCTCGGGCGAGGGCAGGTCCTCTTCCAGCTTCCGTGGATGCGGGCAGCCTCTGGGGGCCCTCATCCAGCCCTCCCTCATGGAGACGGGCATCGCCAAGAGCACCCTCGCCTTGCAGCAGATTTCGGAGGAGGAAGAGGAGGAAGAGGAGGAGACAGAAGGGAAGCCGGGCCTCTCTCGAAGGCGGACCTCCTCCTTGAACCAAGAGCAGATGAGCCGCTTCCAGAGCACTGCGTCATCCCTGCTCTTCTGTCGGGCCCTTGCAGCCCACTACAAAGCAGGGAAGAGCCTCCTCCCTGCACACGCCAAGTCCTCCTGCCCGGAACAAGGGCCTGGGATGGCTCCAGCAGCTCCACCGGAGCAAGCATCCCCGAGCAGCCAGTTAGGGACAGGCCGAGACCCACAGATGGAGGAGCCTGGCAGCAGCCTCAGCTTGCAAGTGGGGAGGAGGCCTGATGAACCCCCAGGGGAAGCCACCCCGCTAGGCAGCCAGGGAGGGGGCCCTGTCAGACCAGAGGGAAAGCCTGGCCGAATTGAGCCCCTTCTGGCAGAGGAAGAAGACCAGAGTGACCTCCTTCCATCGAGAGAAGGAGATCCTGTACAGGAGGAACTCTTGGAGGTTGGGGGGCAGAGCCCCCAGCCCCAGAGCAGCACAGCTCTTCTGCAGGGTGGCTGTGCCCCAGGAACCACTGGAGCCGACCTGGTGCCAGGAGCAGAGGGCAAGGGCCAAGAGCTGGGGCCGCCCCATGGGGCCAAAGCCTGCTGTGATGGCCAGAGCCATGGCAGCGGCCATGACAGCCTCGCGGACAGCATCATCAAGCTGGACCCGGCGAAAGGCAAGAACGCTAACCTGAAGGATCGGCTCCTGCAGTTCCCGCTCTGCGAAAAGGCCCTGGCCTTCCGGATGCAGCCCAGCTCCAGAGAGAGCCTGCTGTCCTTGGGGCAGTTCAACTGTTGCCACGTCATCTAGGCATGCAAGAGAGAAGAGCAAGGAGAGCCGAGAAAGACCTCCAGGGGAGAGCAGGGTAGTGGCAGTGTCCAGTTGCCAAGGTCCGTGCTTTGCTGTCTATATCCTCCCTTGGGAGGGGCTTCCTGTGTGAGAACCAAGCAGCTCCCAGAATCCACACGGCACCTTTGGCCGGGGTGTTTCCCCTTATGTCCCACTGCACTCACAACTTCTCACACAAACCCTCTTCCTGGTCAGTGATGGAGGAAGTCTTCAGCTTGCTCTGGTGCAGCTGGAAGCTTTGGAGAACTTGGAAATGAGAAGGAAGCCAAGGCTGCGCTCCTCAGAGTCGACAATGAACTTGGGATGTCCACTGACCCTGGAGGTCTTGGAGAAGTCTTTCTAGGAGATGCAGGATCTCTCCATGCCTCTCCAGGGTAAACTAGGGTTTAACTTAAGGTAATCGGCCTACTACACCTGGGGGGTTATTTATACCAAGCAGGTGGTGGGCTTGATTTTTCCTGGCAGAGCCACCTGCTTGGAAGTGG